TTGTGGCACACTTGATGAGGATTCTCAATTAAGAAAATGAATTTAAGTTTTAAAACCTTATTATGATGTCTCCAAATTTTGGGCGTACACACATGGTATATTTGGAGATGGAATTATTATGATGGTAAAAAAATATCCCATCACCAGGACGGTTTCCATGGTTACCAACAATGAACGGTCAACCCTCTCATGTTGTGACGCCCAACTTCCCGCGCTCTGAACCATTCTGTAATGCCCAACTTCTAGGCTGCTAATAAATCAAATCAAACTCAAATTTATAATTGTAGATAACTCATAATCTCAAATATACAAATCGCCTCCATAAATAATTAACTCAATGTCTCCAAACATAAATTATACAAAATCGCCAAAAATAATATATAGTTGTGGACTAAAAAAAAATCTCCAACTCAAATAATCTCTTTAGATGCTTCAACACCAATCGCCACTAAATTTGCTCCATGCCTGAAAAATAAATTAATTCGGGAAGTAACAATATAACAGGAATAAACAAGGTTCGGACAAAAATAAATCAACAGAGATCAACAATTACATAACCAATTAGATTCGATAATCAAGCAATTTATCAATTTGCACAAACAAGTCAACTCGACATAGATAATTTATCCAGAACCAAATACCTAGTCCTACTCAGTACATGACCATGGACTGGCCTCACCCCCCTCACCCAAGTACAACCGCTTATCCGGGCTATTGGTACAGAGCATATTGGCAAAGTCCACTCGATTCATGTACGGAGCATTTTCATGTCATTTAGCTAGACAAATCAACACTGACTACACAAAACAATTTCACAGAATTTATCAAATGACTAGAGTAATCAAATGAATCAACAACGAATAATTTCACAGAGTTTATCAAACGATCAGAATAATCAAGAGGAGTACAAATTTACATAAGTTAAAATAAACTATTTGCAAAGAGAATTAGAGAAGTATATTGTATACACCGAATTACCTCAAATCAATCGCCTCCATCTCCAACACTCGAATCTCGATATTTCTCTATGAATCTCCAAAGTGGCAAAAGGTATGTAAGATTTCACAAAATCTACAACTCTCTTCCTTTACAAAAAATACTTACACTCACTCTATACACTCTTAATCTAAACTCAAAATTTCTATAATCTAAGAGAGAACAAAATGAGAGAGATAGAGATATGGATGGACCAAGAAGAAGAATGACAAAATGGTTGATAGGTGAGCTCAATTTAAGGATGTTTGGGACAAAAGAAAGAAAAAAATAATAAAATAAAGTTTATTTTGTGGGCAAGAAAGGGGTGTACTTGGTACTAGAGCTTCTAGAATGCCATGATTACAAGCCTTGAAAATTGATCCCTCACACTCTCTTAGGTTGGCCGGCTACGGAGAACGAAAATGGAGAATTATTTATTCAATATATGTGTATTATGGACATATTCCCAATGTATATATATAGAAATGGTACCAAGGTCATCATTGCTCCAAGAGTGCAAGGGATTTGTTTGTACTAAAGTACAATGATTATAGCCTAGGAGGTATGATGGCTAGCTGTGTGCTCAAGATTTGAGAGATTTCCTATTTATTATGTGTACAAATTCCATAGATATTGTGTGCAAAAAGATTTGATGAATAAGAGGACAATATAATATATTATATATATACAATGGTACTAACTTGGGGTCAAAGAAAAGAAATTTACTTTGCGTGCCTTCACTAGAATAATGAAAAAAAAAAATTTAGAAAACAAAGGAGATGAATAATCATGAGGTGAAGAGAAAAAGAGATAAAATAAATGGAGAAAATAAGTTAGATTCTCATTTAATAATCTCACCAACAAACTATCACCAATACCTCTTACTAAAATATTAATACCTCAAAAATACAGGGTTTCACAACTTGCCAAGTGTTTAGATGTCATTGGTGCTTGGTGTAACGTTAGGTTTTGGGAATGTTGGGCTTTAGTATTTGAATCATGGATTGGGCCTTAAGTGGTGGGCCGTATCCTTTATGGGCTTATCAATGTCAACCACAAAGGTGAGTTTCAATAAAATTAAAAAAGATAAAATTTACATCCTAACAAAAAATATATATTTTAATATATTATAATTAATTAATTAATTTAATAACGGGTCAAGCTAGGTTGAAAATATAAATCTCAAGTCCAACCTATTAATATGTCGGACTAAAAATATTGGCCAAACTTGAACTTAAACAACCTTCTTAAACAGTAGAATCTGTTTGGCAAGATGGTTTTCAGGCTTTTTTGGCTATTTTAGCCACAAAAAACAAAATAGGCTATTTTAGCCGTAACAAACAAAACATCACATCCAACCCATAATCATTACATTCTTCTCTCACAAAAAAAGCCAAAAAAGCCAAAAAGCCCTTCCCAAACCAAGCTTTTTAGCCCAGGCTAAAATAGCCAAAAAAGTCAAAAAGCCAAAAAGCCAACCCACTTCCCAAACGGAGGCTTACTTTAAAGAGGTCGATTTATGATTTTGGCCGAATCATGGTTTTGTATCTGCAACGGGCAATAAAAAACTTATTAGAATACTGTTTATCTCAGATTTTTAGTTTTGCTGTGCAATCCTAAACGCAAGAAATGGCATTCTGATATTCCATGGAGACATTTTCAAACTTATATATATATTCCCCTTTTTTTAAATTTTTATTTATTTATTTATTGATGTCGATGGAAGTATCTCAATGTGGGTAATGCTAGCTTTGGTAGTTCTTTCTTACCAAACCCGAGCAGTCTGTTAACTAAATTCACAATCTGAAGCGGGTTTTCAATTTATTTTCCACTCAAGCAATTCGTGAAAGCATATTTTCAGAACATGATTAATACGAAAATTAAAATTAAACTTGCGTTTGGAAAACATTAACTTGATGAAAATCACTTGAATTTGAAGCATACATTGAAAACCACTTAAAATTGGGATGTAATTTCCAAGCCATTCCGAGAAAAGACCCATAATTTAAAATTTCAAATTTACCCACAATAGCATTGCAAAAAAAGTTAAAACTTGTACGGTTGAATTTGTGACAAATCAAAAATTGACATGTAAATTATGTCGTTCCAGTGTCTAATTATTCCCAGAAAACTACAGTGGCTGGAGCCTCCTGTACTCCAGCTATCATCTCAACAATGAAAGAACTAGCCAGACAGCAGTGAAGCCGAAAGGACAAAAAATGATTGTATTCCTTGTTTGCAGGGAAGAAAAATAAAATAAAATAAAAACTGCCACCCATAGCAAATTTGGTCATTTCTTTCTGTTGGCACCAAAGCTGATTGTTCAGCTAAAAGAGAGGTAAGGCACCGGAAAAAGCTTCATGTCCGTCAATTATTAGTGTACAATGGCTAACATCGAAGTAATTTTACTATTCATTGAAAACTCGAGATCGTGATTTTGTCATCAGTTGAAACAAATGAAAATCACCTCGACGTGCTTCAAATGCTCGTCAAATGAGAGGGATAGACAACAACCCCAAGAACGGTTAGCGTGTGTTATAAATTAATCTGTCTCAGACAAGAATGTTGGGGCGAGCTTTTCTTCAGTTTGACATATACCATGTTCTTTTCCTACATGAATGGGTATTTCACCTGTTTTACATGCGGCTGGGATGAGTTGCTCTACTGTTCGCAGCACAAAACTTCCATCCGGAAGATGAAGACCTAAATGGTACTCATCGTCATCAAACTCTGTTCTTTTTAATGTTCTCTTGTATGTCTCGGTGGCAAATCTTGGGTGGCCCCTGGCAATTGATACCTGCATTGCCAGAGAAAATTTAATGCGAGCCAATAATATGACAAGATAGTAGACATACAACTCATATAAACAATCTTTAACACCAATCACTCGGTTTTGGCTATAGGATCTGTTATCTACAGTCACTTCACACAAACAAATTTGTGTTTTGCGAATATGACAATGTCGTAAAAGAGGCAAACTTAAACCTTTGAGAGAGAGAGAGAGAGAGATCCTTTTCCTGCAACGCTCCATTTGTTTCTGGAATCATTTTTCTCATTTTTTGACGTTTGATATGACGAAAAGCAAACAAACATCAACGGAAACAAGCTTATTTGGATGGAAAATGTTTTCTACTTTTAAAACATGGAAAATGTTTTTTAAACTAAAGTTTTATTGCTGCCACCGCTGCCGCTGCCTCTGCCTCTGCCGCTGCCGCTGCCGCCACCACCTGCACCAATCACCACCACTACTAATACAACTACTAGTACATTAATTTCAAGGTCGCAACTAAACATAAGAAAATATTTTCTATGGAAAACTTTATAGAAAATTTTTCCAGTTTTCCACTTAAACAAATGCAGCTCAAGTGGTATTCAATCTTTTCTTGCTCATGTGCATCGTAATTGGCAAGAGGTGCCAAAATTCAGAATGTGAAAGATTACAGTTCTGTTTTATGTCTTCCTAATATCAAATTCTTAATTCCTCCAAAAACAAGAGGGGATTGCTTCCATCTTTAAACTTATCTCATATTTTGTGCAAACTTAGCAACACTATAGTGGCATACAATCACTATGATCATAGTACCTCATCAAACATCATTAAAACACTCCTTTTATGACTCCGAGGGAGGAGGAGGATGAGGAAAATTGAAACAAAAGAGAGAAACTCATCAAACAACTAACCGTATGCCCTTTCCCGAGCTCATAAAGCCAAAATCTCCACTCCTTCAATTCTTGTCCATCAACTTTAACAAATATGTCGGTCCACCTAGTGTGATGAAATTCCACAGCATCCAATCTATACCCCACTCCATTTCCTATCGCCTTCACAAATGCTTCCTTCACACACCAATACCTGCATAACCGTTACAACATGCTTTGTTATTAAATGAAGTCAACAAACACATAAGCTGGAATGTTTGTTCAATGATTTTTTTTTTCTTTTCCCAACAATCTCATGGGAAAGCAAAGTGAGCATAAATGTTAGATTCATAGTAATTTAGACTAAATCCTCTTAATATAATGGGTCAATGAAGCTATGACTAATGAGAAATTTTATACAAATCACAATGACTTGGATTTTTGAGGGTTTAAATAATAAAAGATCCAGTAAAATGAAATCCTTAAAGTTGACTGATATATATGTATATATATATAAAATGTACCTGTAAAACTCACTTAACATATTATCATGATTGCCAGCATTAACAATATTATCCCATTCCATTCTGGTGAAGTATGATGAAAAGTTTTGAATGAATTCTGGAATTGTTTCTTTCACAGGAACAGAATGAGTAACAATATCCAAGCCAACAATGCATATTGGTTCTGAAGCTATCGCCACGTAGTCGCCATGGTGGGATGTATTGAAGTTGAAATTTGGGAATTCTGATTCTAAGGCCATTGTATAACCTTCCTATAAAACAACCACCACACATGTAACATTTCAGATAGGTTAAAATGATAACTTCATCAAGTCCAATCAAGAAAAAGTTAAGTTCTTCATTTCCTAAATCTTCATGTTCTGCGAATTATTAAGCAGATCAGTTTATATTGTTAGATTGAGCTAGATAAAATATTAAATAGAAAAAACTTTTTCATGCTAGACTAAGGGATGAGGGTATGCATGGACAGAAAAGTATTCAAGAAATCCTAATTTAGCATTGATATCTCTTGATGCAATTTGAAACCATTCGTGAAGAATAATTAGAATATGCTAGCAATTGCTCATAATTCAACTAGAAAATTACCTACAAAAAGAACAATTAAGATGCCCTGTTTTAATCTGAATGCCAAAGCATTACCCATATACACCATTGTCACCCAGTATTTCAAAATCTCAACTGCCCTAGTTGAAAATTTTTGGTAATTTTTTTCCCCAAAATTTGCATTTGTATCATCAACAATCCCAGCTTCTTGCTATATATTTCAGCCAGACGAATTTATAATATCCAAATGAAGGGATATCTAAATTTTCCTCAAAGTTTCTCTTAGTTGGTTGAATTGCTAATAATACAAATGGCATAAATATTTCCCTTCAAACTTATTCATAGTTCTTGTTTAAAAACTTATTCATAGTTCCATTTGGAGTCGAAATACAATGTCTTAAGGCCCTATTTGATTAGCAGGATTAATAGTGAGAGAACGAACAATCCATAGGATTAGTATATGATTAGTTATCTAGCTAGATTAGTGAGATCAATAATTCTCTTCTGTCAACGTTTGTTTTGCAATGGCTATGAAAATATATCATCCCAAATATATGTTTATTTTGCATTATTAGTTATAGGATTAAAAAGTAGATCAATTTTTTTGTTGGATACAAAGTCCATTAAAATTTAACCACAATAACAAAAATTACAACCAAACACGTCACATGGATTAATAATTTCAATCGTATACTATAATTCGTCCAATTAAACAGGCCTAAAAAGTCACTAATTACCACAAAAAAAACTCTGCCAAACAAACCTAACCAAGAACCACAAATAGCAAGTACGTTCATACACCATTTGTTTAATTTTGAATTAAAAAGAAAAAAAAAAACCCAAAAAAGGTTAAAGAGACCCAATACCAAAATGTGGGAGAGATACACACATACCCCGAGATAGGGTTTGCCCTCAACAGTGCGGTTGATGAGAATTTCATGAAATGGGATTCCCAATACTTGATTCACTAGTGCATACTGAAGCAACCTGCTCACGATTGCCCGTTTTCGATCTTCTGATTTCACATATCTACTAATCAAACACTGAATCATCAATTTCACTTTCTTTTACAACAATCTAGCAACAATTATGAGTTTTATGGAAGCAGACCTGGTGATTGAAGAGTGTTCGTGTTGGGGAAGAAAAGACATGGAATAAGAGAATTCATGGGGAGAAGGATTCCACTGAGATATGTCAACTACCCATCTCTGAACTGCCTTCTCCAATTCCATTTTCGCAATCACTCAAGACCTCTCTCTCTCTCTCTCTCTGCTTCCAATCCTTGCATATATAATATTGATAGAAAAATGAGTGAGACCATTCAAAAAATAAAAAAGGAGCACAAAAGCTCTAAAGTGGCGTGGTTTTTACATGATGTGCGGTTTTGACATGATGGGATGTTTTGTTATTTATTTATTTATTTTTTTAATTTTTATCTTATTAGTGGTCAATTAGTATTTTTAAATTAGTAGGATGAATCATTATTGAATATTGATAATTCTCCTAATTTGTTACAAGTATGGGTGGGCGTGGGTCGGTTGCGACCACGAAACTTCCAATCTGTCATCCGTCCGCCAGATTGGCAGATTGAAGAAAATCAATTCGTATCCGTTTGCTAATCCGGAAAATGTGGATTGAGCGGGTTGGTGGATGTATGCGAATCGGTTTGACGGTTTAAAATTTTATAAATTTTCAACATAATTCAACTTGTGCATTTTCTCAACAAAAAAAAAGAAAGTATTATAGTCAATGGCTTTAAAAAAATATTACAATCACTGCATGCCTCATCCAAAGCAAGAAAGTTTGAAACTTTAGAATATCACAATCACTGCATACTTCATCAACATACTACAATCATAGCATGCTTCTTCCACATAAAGTATTATAATCTGTAGTTTTTAAAATATAAAAACAATTCAAATCACCAAAATCATGAACAGAGTAATAGTAGAGATTGTATGTCTCTATATTGTTACATCTATATATATTTTTGAAAACAAGAATCAACCAGTATATATCATATTTTCTATTTATTATTTTTAAGATAGATTTAAAAATCAAAAAATATAGATAAATAATACGTTTATTTTTTCAATTCAAAAAAGATATTCAAGTTGAAAACTTTTGTTCAACAGAATATTTAAATTCTTTTTTTAATTGAAAACACAAACAGAATATTTAAACAAACTGAAAACACAAAGTCTTATAAATTACTAAAGGTGCTTGCGGTTTGGCGGTTTGGTTGCTGCCAAAGGAATTTCAAATCCGCCATCCGTCCGCTAGATTGGCGGATTAGAGAAAATCAATCCGCAATCGTCCGCTCATCATCACGTATCCGTCCAAAATACGGTGAATCGGTTCGGTTCGATCAATTTTGACGAATCGATATATCCGCTGCTCATCCCTAATTATAAGGGTGTAAAAATAGTCCTTATTATTTTAGGAAAAATATTTGGACCCCATTTCCGGAGACCTTAGTTACCTCTAAATAATTGTGATTGGTTAGGTGTGTTTCTATTTTTATTATTATTATTTTTTCTCATCTCTGTGCGTGGGGGTCATGGCGGCGAGGTGTTTGTAGGGTCTATATTGTTTTACATAGAATTTCTATTTGAAAGGGAATAAGTTCTCTTTTTTAAAAGACAAAATTTCTATTTGAAAGTGAATAAATCCCTTTTTTTTTTAGACAAAATTTTTAAAAGTATAGAAATCAGTCAGAGAATCACAGAATCAGGCACTGAATGTAAATTAATAAACAAGTTATTTTATAAAATCTTATCAATATATATATTCTATATTTTATTTTGTGTTTGATTTTTATATTTATAACAAAATTGTGGTGCTCACATACCATTTTCCTTTTTAATGTGACAGATGAGTGAAACAGGGCAAACAATAACTTGATGACATAACCATGGCTTGGTGCAATGAACATGACTTTTAAGAGAGGGATCAGTAATTAGGTGGCCAAGAAGATGCACAAGCAAGTAAAGAGTGAAACAGGGCAAACAATAACTTGATGACATAACCATGGCTTGGTGCAATGAGCATGACTTTTTAAGAGAGGGATCAGTAGTTAGGTGGCCACGAAGATGCACAAGCAAGTAAAGATGAGACATACTGTTGCCTCTCAAATCATGTATTAAACCAAATAAATAAATAAATAAAAAACAAACAAACCAACCAAGGACTTTGCTCACACGGCATCATTAATCAATGAAAGGTACAACGACCTATCTTTAAGAGTGTTTCTTGTCCTTTCCATTGTTCTATCTTCATATTCCTAAATCATATCTTATAAAAATGGTCATACGTAAAGGCACAAGTGTCGTAAGCTGCAAAAAATGAAGTACAAGAGGCTTCACAAGTGTAGGCTAGCTCAAGATGAGCCATTTGATGATCATCTCTCCTCAGAAACCGATCTTCTCTTCTCAGAAACCACTAGTGGCCAGACCAAAAGTACCGGTGGTGGCGACAAACAACTGGGGCATGGTCATGACATCCATAAGGTGAATGGACTTGTGGAAGCAATCCAAAGGGCAATTACCACTAGGGAGCTTAGGCAACACGGGGAATCCTCAAAGGTTGGTGGCAAGCATGGTTGTGAGCAACTTTGTGTTGCGCTGCCGAGGGAGGTTGATGGTGGAAGCAGCCAAGGGATATCAGAGTAGGATGTCTTTGGATTTTGGATTTTGAATCTGTGAAAGAATTTGTGGAGAGAAAAGAAAAAAGAAAAAAGAAAAATAAACTATAATTTGTTTCTCCTTTCCTTTTATTTTCTTTTTTGTTCTTCTATAAATTCATAATCCAAACACAACATAAAAAGTCAAGCAAGAGGATTTTTCATCCTTCAATTGATCTAAAATGCTTGTTTAATCACTATTATGAAGCCCCCTTCTTTTCTTTTCTTCTTTTTCTTTTGTTTTTGTTTATTTGTGTAGAGAAAGGAAAAAAAGCTATGCAATTTTGTAACCGAAGAAAAGTTACATATTGTATTGTAATAAATGATGGTATGAAATTATTTGATCACTTTCTTCCAATTTGTACCATGTTGCCTCTGATATATCCCAAGAAAAAAGAAAAAAAAAAAAGTAAGATACAAGATTTAGAGGGAAGTGCAAGCAAGCACAATTTTAGATGAAGCATTAGATGATGTTCTTCTTTTCACATTCATCATAAAAATGCATGGCTTTTTCAAAGTAAATGCATAAGTTTGTAACATTAATATCAAATCAATGGTGCATTTTTGTGAGGCCACACTTTAGTGAATTTAGTTTTCTTAAGATGGAGCTACTTAATGCGTTATATTAAGGACAATTATTAAGTGTAACAGTAATATTATTTTATATGTGATGTCATTAATTAGTAAAATATCATAAATATTTTGTATAATTTTTTAGATACAGACGTTAAAAAATAGAGATGAGAAATGCTGTCCACTTCAATATTTTTAATAATTTAGTGATCCATATTTTATCTATTTATTTTCAAATGCAATTTTATATCTATGCAAAAAAAGCGGTTCGTTATTTATTTAATAGATGAACGGATTAATAAAATTTAAATTTTTTATTTATAAAAAAAAAAAAAAAAGATGACCCAACTCCAAAACAAAAAGTCAATGGTTCCCTATTATACTTGTATAGAGAAAAATGTCAAGAATTTCAAATCTACTGTACATATTGGTAGAGTCATATTTTAGGTGAATCTTGACCATTAATTATAAATTCTGTCATTTTTTTGAAAAAATTATCAGAAAGTCCCATTTCACAAACTGTTGCATCATATGGTTCCACGTTTTTTCTATTAGATTGGCAAGTCCTGTTGCTGTGTTCTTTTAGTCAGCCAAGTCCCTTTATGAATTTTTTGGATTCTTTGGTGGACGAATTTGTCCTTTTTGTTAATCAATTGACAACATTGTAAGAGTAACAGATATTGGGGGGATACGTGGATGCCACGTTTGGTAGTTCGAATCCCGTAATTACAGGGAGTAGGAAATCAGTGGGTGTTCTTTTGGAATATGAAGCTAGGTTTTGGCTATTGTTGGACGGCACCAAAGGTTGTCACAGACGTCACAACAATCCATGGTGATCTAGTATGTCATACGTTTACATCCGATTTTAAGAAAATGATAGTCTAGTTGATGTCCATCACCATTTTCAATTGTTTGTTCATGTGATTCGTTTTCAAACAATGCTACATTACTATCACTTCCGGCAGTGCAGTCGATATATTTGGATAACACATCGAATGCTCGCATCATGGTGGCCTAAGGAACAGAGACCCAAACCACTATCTCATGCCACCATCACTTCCGGCGGTGCGATCCCTCACACTATAGCATCACACGCACTCATGGACGCAAGTGCAAAATGATGTGGTTGCCACTTTTAGGATGAAGATTCAAATGTGAATCGGTGTTCCAAACGGGTGCGGAATACCCAAATGGGAATGCTGAAACGTTGCTACATATGCCACCATCACTTCCGGCAATGTAGTCCTTTACACCACAACATGACACGCAAATGGGATATCGATTTGAACATGAATCAGTGGTTCAAATGGGTGCGGGATATCCAAATGGGAATGATGAAACGTTGTTACGCATGTCACCATCACTTCCGATGTTGCAGTCCTTCACACCACAACATCACACGCATTCATGGACAAGGGTGCATAATGAAGATGTGGTTGCCACTTTTGAGATGAATGTGAATCGGTGGTCCAAACGGGTGTGGAATACCCAAATGGGAATGATGAAATGTTAATTCACTGATGAAATGTTGAATTGGTGGTCCAGAAAAGATTAGGAATGTCAGCCGGCTTCCTCAATTTTATGGTGGTTACGTTTGCGTCAGAACTAGAATGTGGGTCACCTTGTTTAATTTAGTAGAAGGTATCAATTTTTTGGATTCAGATGTGAGTTGCATTCATTCAATGTTAGGGGTAGACACTTTTGGATTTGAATCCTAAGGTCACCCAAATAATAGTGGTAAATTAAAAAAGCCTATGGTAAGCTTTTTCCAAACATAACATAAATGGAAAATATGAAATTAAAATTATCTAAACGTGACATGTGACATTTCAATGTGACGGACTCAATTTCATTGAATTACTGTATGTCTACACGTCACGTGCTAAAAAATAATTAGTAAAGAATTTAAGTCCTATACTACACGTGTTAAAAACAACCAAGCTTTAAAAAGTTACTAGTACGCTTTTTGAATAACGTAACACACAAACACCCCACTACCTTCCCCATACATAATCATGCAATCTCTTCTCCAACTATACTAACAATGGTAAAATAGTTAACAAATAATTTAAAGGACCAGTTAGTCACCGAAAAAATATTTAAGACTTTAAACGGGATTTATTGGTCATTTTTTTCTTTTTTTTGGTTTGAGTGGGAGAAGGGGCACTGCTGTGCCTTAAGGCACAACAATTACTGCTGTCGTCTTGTGGGAGGTCTTTCCAAGTATTTTTTGATAATTTGAACCATTCATATTGTAGCGTTCGTCAATAACATTTTACATGTAAAATATCAAGTTAATCGGATATTCATAATCTTATGATTAGATCCTAATTATTTTTAAAAATTTATGAAAGGTAGGTTAATAATTAATTACAGATATCCAATCAATTTAATTTTTTGTATGAATAATCTATTCGACAAACCTTACAATATGAACAGTTCATATTATTGAACAACATTAGAAAAGACCTCCCACAAGCGCCACAATAGTAACTGGACAGCAGTACCCCTACTTCGCTTGGGTGATAGTATTCAGTGTGTTTAGTTTGAGTTTTTTGGATTAAGTTTTATGAAAATTAAATTTTTTGGTTTTCGTGTTTTTTTGTTTTTAGTGAATATTTTTAAAATTTTAAACATTTTTTTACTTTTTTAGATGCACCTTATTTAGATGTATGTAAAAAGTAAAAAATTTATGAAAAAATATTTTAAAAAATTAATAAATACATAAAAGTACAAAATATGTACGAAATTCTCGTATTTTTTTTATATTTTTTATATTTAGTGAATTTTTAAAAAGTTACTTTCACAAATTTTTTACATTTTAAATATATTTATATTAAGTATGTCTAAAAAATAAAAAAAATTTACTTAAAATATTAAAAAAACACAAAAAATAAAAAAATAAAATTTTTAAAAAGAGTTTTTTGAAAAACTTTAACCAAGCATGCTGACTGTTCTTTTTGGTGAAGGCCAAATTGCTTCGAAGCTTTGTATTATTCTAATCGACACCTCAATAGTTTTCTTCTTCTGTACTGGTTTTGCGATTTGTCAGTTTCCTCTTTCTTGTTGATTTTTTTTAAAACCGTTTTGGTTGTCTTCTATTTCCTAACAGACCTGGTTATTCTATAATCTTCCTATCTTGTTCTCTTACCCTATTTACAAAATTACTTTCAAAAATTACTCATACCGTTGAAACCCTTTTAACAATTGTCAAATCTGAACAAGATTTTAGTTTCAATCTTGGATCTTGGGTCAAGAAAAAACATGGGTTTTGGTTTATTTGTGCTGATAGAAATGAAGCCAACAGTTTTGTTCTTGGCATATTGAGAAATTACTTCAAATTGCTCAATAATGTTGAAACCCTTTTAACTATTATCAAATCTGATACCAGTTTTTTGGTTTCAATCTTGGATTTTGGGTCAAGAAAAAATATGGGTATTGGTTTATCTGTGCTGATAGCAATGAAACCAACAGTTCTGTTCTTGGCATGTTGAGAAATTACTACAAATTTCTCATACTGTTGAAATTTGAAAATAATCAAACCTGAACCAAATTTTTAGTTTCAATCTTGTATTTTGAGTCAAGAAAAAACATGGATTTTGGTTTATCTGTGCTGATAGCAATGAAGGCAACATTTCTGCTCTTGGCATTTGCATACCTTAGAACCCTTGGCTTCACATTGTTGTCACTACCCTTATTATATGCCTCTTTGGTGTCTATGTTGCTCTCAATTGCTTCTCACCCACTCCTTAATCTTCCAATGCTTTTGGGTAAAAACCCAGATGGGACATTCCCAATTTGGTCATTGATTATGTTCAGTCCATATCTGTATTTTGTCCGAGGTTTCTCGGTGTTGCGAAGACTGTGGAGTAGGAAAGCTCCTTACAGTGAAATTTGTGAGGGTTTGTATGTTGGAGGGTGGCCTTACTCACCTGAAAAATTGCCTCCTGGTAACCCTGCTATTGTTGATTGTACTTGTGAATTGCCTAGGAATTTGGAGTTTTCAGGACATGCATATTTGTGCATTCCAACTTGGGATACGAGGGCTCCTCAGCCACGTGAAATTGAATCCGCGGTCTGGTGGGCTTGTAGGAAGAGAGCTCAGAAAATACCAATCTTCATTTACTGTGCATATGGTATATGCTTTAAACTTTCTGAGTTTCATGTGTTAGTATTGAGGCAAACTTGGTTTATGAAACACTTGTTTCTAATCCTTGACGTTCTACTAAATTGCTGATTGCTCGTTTGATTTTGTTATGCTGATGCTATTCATGAGTGCCTTTTTTTTTTTTTTTCCCTAGTTTATTGCATCAATATCTTTTTAAGTAAGGGTTGATAGGGTAGGGAGTAGGCTAAATATGGATTTGTTGTATCAGTGAATGAAATTGGATACTGATTCTTGTATATCAACGTGAGATGAGCTGAACTATATTTTAAAAGCCCAAGGAGTGACAGGACACATGGATTCAAGCTCTATAATATCAAGCCCTATAACCCTTGTGATTGTAACATAGCCTATGCTTCCATAGCCATAGGCCTTGGCAGCTCTAGGCTTAACTCTAGTTAGCCCTCTTTCAAAATGACATTTTTTTGGCGGCTCGCACACTAGTAATTTCAGTATGGCAATAGGTAGCCCTTTTACATTCACTCTACTCTCCAAGATAACACTTTATGCGAGTCAAACCCGAAATATTGTGTCTATTTTGATATCAGATGTTGAAACCCGAAAGCTTTTTTGAAATCAAGTCTATAATCATTTGAAAAATTAACAATATTTATGTACACATTAAGACATGCATAAGAAATCAGTTTGCTGGTTGTCCATGACCTTTAACCATTAGTTTGGGGTGACAAAATGAATAATGTTAAGACAACATGATTTAGCTCATACTTTGTATTGAATCACTATGTCTTTGCTTGGTAATTAATGCAAATCCTTTATATTGTCGTCAGCTTTAAGAGCATCTCCAACGCAAGAGCCAAAAGGGGAGAATAGGCATTTTGCCTATTGAAGTCAGATTTCGAAGGTCCAACGCGCTCTGCATCTGAGGAGGCATTTTGCCAATTCTCGTTTTGGCTCTTAAGTGTGTCATATTACTCATTGAACTATTGTCATTGGGTTTTGTTGCACATGTCCTAGACTTATGGGCTTGCTTTCTCTTATTGGTCCTACATTTTGGTCTACCAACAACTTCATAGCCTTCAATTTTTTTGTGGGGTGTAAATCTCACTACAAAGGTGAGAAATAGACTTCCTTGGAGAATAATTAAATGAATAGGAGGATGGAAGCTAGAAATAAGAACTAAACCCTTGAAACATTTACTTAAAAGCAAATTGATCGTAATGCTTTATCTACTTTCTCCTGCTTTTTATATCTTAATAGACTAGAATCATTGGACACATTCAATTTACTACAAGAAGGAATCCCACTGCTGGACATTTGATTCCCCTTAAAGTTATAAGAAAGGGTTGCTTCTATAACTTTTTATTTAGATTACTTTATCTTGTATATATTATATATGCTTCAAAAATATGGTAAAATATTTTTCTTTTAACAATTGTTTGAAAATAATAAAGAAATAAATAAATAAATAAACTATCACGTGGGTGGAGTTGTATAGAAAAGAGATAAAGTGGATATAAAGATGGGATATTTGATTAAAAACAAAAAGAAAGGACAGTGCGCGTGGCTGGTGAGGAAAAGCTTCAGATGCAGATGCAGATCTCAGTATCCTCCCAAAATACAAACTCCAAATCTCTGACTTTCTGGGTGTGCTCTCCATCATAATACCCCATCGGATTCAACTCACTGCTGGACATTTGATTCCCCTTAAAGTTATAAGAAAGGGTTGCTTGTATAACTTTTTATTTAGATTACTTTATCTTGTATATATTATATATGCTTCAAAAATATGGTAAAATATTTTTCTTTTAACAATTGTTTGAAGATGCAGGGACAATCATTACATAATGACTAGGTACTACCTAGTTTTAATATCCAGTGGAAGTTATTTCTCTCTCCCTGGGCCCCAAGAACTTTAATTGCAAGGTGATAAGGAATTTAGGAGTGACTGAAAAGAAGTACAAACATTGGGTTTGTGAATTTTATTAACTTCTGAAATGTTGACATTCCATTTGGCTCTAAGCTAATTCAAAAAGTTTGAAATTTAAACTTATGTTGGTCTCAACGTCTTATTTTTGTAAAGTTTATGCTTACTTAACAAAATTCGAGGAAGTTTAGCATGTGAAGGTTTCACTTCTTAGTTACAAAGACTACTATAATCATTTACTAATTCATTTTAACACCTCTAGGCATAATTTTTTGAGTTAAAAAGCTCCCATGCCATTTAGTTAAAGAGCAAGTGGCTTAAATCAGATGGGAGTGGACTAAGTTCTTCCTGTAAATGATTGAAAAGTTTTTGATTTAGATGAAAAACTTTATACCAGCTTTGAAGTTTCCTAGATGAAATGTGTGGTATTCCAACTACATCGTTTGTGCTATTTATACACTTGTAATCATTTTTATCTTCTTAATTCGTAAAATGCTTGCTCTAGGTCATGGACGAAGCGTTGCGGTGATGTGTGCACTGTTGGTAGCCCTAAATGTGGCAGAAGATTGGAAAAATGCCGAGAAATTAATTCGAGATAAGAGGCCTTATATTCAAATGAATTCTCTTCACCGTAAAGCCTTGGATGAATGGTCAATGAACCGGTTGTCTGCTCCCAAAAGGGAGGAAGAAGTTGGTGTAAGTTCTGAAATTTTTCTAATGCTTCTGGACATTCTCAATCGGATAGGCCACATAGAAAACTTTGATTGGCTATTCTCCATTTCCATTTACTTTTAGTTCTTATCTTCCATCTGTTTGCTAGGAAGGATTTTATTGTTGACATTACCTTTCTGTATAAATTGGTTATGAAATATGATTTTGTTGTTCTTTATTGCTTCAATTCTTCAAGATTTATTTTGAAAATTGATGGTTGACTGAACATCTCACTCGACTTAAAATTTTAAGTTTTTAAGTGCTTCCATTATTCATCCATATATATGAGATCTCTACAGTGCTAAGTTGATCCTTAAGTTAACCTTAAAATATACTAGCAGAGACATTTCGGTGTATGCGAGTGAGATTAGAAATATCAGTAATTATCATCATTGTAATTGCCATCACCATAATCATTATCATTATTTCCTACCAAGGTTGATAAGAGGGAAGAGAGGTTTTCACGGATATGCCTGTGTGTTTATCCTGTCTTGTTTGTGAGTACTTATCCATTTTATTTTTAATGTCCAAGAGCAAAATCTTAAGAATCTTAGCTGCCTTTTTTCTGGTATCTAAGCCTGTTTAAGCAACCAAGGTTGATGGTGAGAAGCCTCTTAGGCGATGTTTGGATCGAAGATTTAAGAGTAGATTTATGGAGGGAAAGGAAAAAGTAAGAAAAAAGTGAAAATTTAACTTTCGTTTCATTCACTTTTTCTCTACACAAATTCTTTCTTAAATCCTTGATCCAAGTACAGCCTTAGAGACGGACATTGAACACGAACAAGAACACAAACAAAAACAAGATCAAGCTTTCTCCCTATTTTCAGTACATTATTCAGCTTAGCTTTGTGAACTTTCCAGTGTTACAGAGAAGCAAGCGATGAAAAACACATTGATTCCATCAGTTGGTGTTCCCAGAATCACACTTTTATTAATCCATAAATAACGAGTTCCAAGATAAATGAATCCAACCCTATTTCAGCACAAAATCCCAAATACACATTGGTTCACATTCTTGGAAAAACATATTTTGTTTCTCACATTTACAACAGGGGACCCCAAAAATGTCGCCGTTACAAGTATTCACCTTAAATATGATGAAAATACATAACTAGAAGCAAAAAGAATACAATGTCAATAAAATGCTTCCAATAAATTTCCAAGAGACAGTTTCACCATTTCTAAACCATGAAATTTGTTATACTCACATACAAGACCCGAGTACTCTTAAATTTTTGAGTCATATGTACAAGGCCTCATAATTAAGTTGATGGCAAATTTGTCACGATTTATGATCCTGAACTATGACCGGCTTTGCAGCTTCTGCACTGCTGGTTGGCATAAAGGATTCTCCACAGCAGCATTTCCCTTTATGCTGTGTTTGGTTAGGAGATTTGGAGAGGGATTTGGAAAGGAAAATGGAAAAGGTAGGTGAAATGTGAATAAAATATGTATATATTTCACATAGTTTCACACATCTTTTCCCTTTCCCTTTCCAAATCCCTCTCTAAATCCCCTAACCAAACACACCATTAGGGTTAGGATTGATAAATATAAACTCAGATCTGCCCAGAAACCAAAATAGGATGTGTCAGAGGTGGTGAATAGAAGAAGCACAACGGAAGGTTCAACAAAAGTAAGAGAACAGTATGCCAATAAAATAAAATAAAAAAGAAGAAGAAGAAGTAAAAAGCCACTACTTCTAAACATATACCATCTGTAACAAACATGAGTGATATTGCCCATACATACCTGAGTTTGTCATTGAAAAAATCCATCTTGGTCCCTATGACATGCATGTGAGCCTTTGGATCAATCAATATCTTCACACCCCTGCCCTCAACCAACTCATCAAACTTCCCTTTTTCATCTGCATATTTGACGTATCAGCGCATTATGAAACTAACTATATTGAAGCAATAATCACTTTGCTTAGTTCTGGTTTTCGGAAAATACTTTTCAGAAAGTTTTATTTTTTGGTTTTTTGTTTTATTTTTGCTGAATTTTTTTAATATTTTAAGTAATTTTTTTATAAAATTTTTAGATACATCTAACATAAATACACTTAAAAAGTATAATATTTGTGAAAAAAAAACTTTAAGAAAACCACTAAATACCAAAAATATATATAAAAAAAAAAACGAAAATTCAATATATTTTTTTTTGCATTTTTGTATATTTATTAATTTTTTAAAATATTTTTTTCACAAATATTTTACTATTTAGATACATCTAGGTAAGGCGCATCTAAAAAAATAAAAAAAAATTGCTTAAAATTTTAAAAATATTCACTAAAAACAAAAAAACACGAAAAATAAAAAACTCAATTTCTAAAAAAAACTAAACTCAGAAAACTGAAACTTATAGCATTTAAGTTGTTTGATTTGGGTTTCAATTTATTTATTGTACACAGAAGATTGCAATTTATTTTACCGAACCGAATGAATATTTAAAAACCAAGTCGAATGTGTGACACTCTGTCCTTAAGACAGATTCACCCCGCTACGGTGCTTACGGTTAAGTGGCGCCTATCTCCCAAGATACAATGATCTTCACAAATTTGTAGTAGCACTCCAAACAAATTTATCCGGCGAACTAGAACCTTGTGTTCTATACTCTCTTTAATTTTCTCTAAAACTAGAATGAAGAATAAATAATGCAAATGAGAAAAATAGGATAGCAAAATGAAATTTTCAGTCAATTTTTGGATCTCCAAACTGTTGGAATTAAACTGGTATTTATAGGCAATCTGAGAGCCCCGAACAGATGCTGTTTGTCACTGAACAGGTGCAACATTGTTTTAACAGATACAGTTGAATACAAACAGATCTAGACACTGTTTGAATCTGTAACTGCTGGCTGTTAAATCCATAAACTGCTGGCAATTTTAGTAGTTAAAAAACTTGTTAAACAGTTGGAAATTAAATGGAATTCGGAGGCATTTTGGACAAAAAATTTGAATTTCAAAAAATTTCTTGCAAGAATTTTGGAAACAATTCAAAATAAATTGTCCAAAAAATTAATATAAGAACCGACCCGACCCACACCCGCGCCTAGCACGGCTCGGCCGGCCGGACAGCGGCAGTGACGCGTGCGCGTGTGTGTAGTGGTTTGGGCTAAGATTTCATTTGTCCATAACTCCTCCCTTCTACAAACTTGGGGTGCTCCTTGAGGCCCAACCCAAGTATTGTACTTTAGAGCTTACATATATATACAAACTTTCTTAAAGTTTCAATGTGGGACAACCTATTTCAAGGAAACCCACATTTAATTCTTTAAATGTTCAATTCCACGAACCGGAAAACGACGTCAACTTCCCATTCACTCATAAATGTTTTTGACGAACCGTCTTCACCGTGTGACTTACCACGCGGCAAGGAACACGTCACCATTTCGGACCGGTCCTAAAAGACGTTTGAGACCTACTTAATTTTGGGCTCAAAGATGGCCTAAAATAAGCCTTTAAAACCAAATTTTCCAATAATCCCCCGCATGAATGGAATTTGACAGAGAAAAAATGTAACAACATGATCTAATTACAGAGAGTACAAAAATTGGAAATATTTTGCAAAGGATAGGTAGCTTTTGGCTTTGAACCTTCCCTTGTGAGACACTATCAAATTTACTAGCTAACTAGTGAACATGATGTCTTGAACTGTTCAGCCGTTTGTGTAAACCAAGGCAATAGAACTCACACAGTATATCCCCAAACACAGTTTCATTCTCACCATTGTGTTCATTTTGGCCCTGAACAACCTGGTCTTTCATGAGTGCTAGCAATTTTGCAACTAGAAAATGAAAGAATTGTGATATTTTGTTATAATTTGTTCACTTTTTATTTAGTACTTGAATTTGGATTATTTTGATCATTTTTTTCTTATTATAAACTTTGTTATATATTTAAGTAAATTTTATGTGAAGAATAAATAAAAAATAGACATTTGGTGGATAATCTTTCAATTATAATTTCCTCCCCCTAGATGTATAAAAGGCCCGAAAACTCGCTTTTGGGCCTAAAAAATGTCAGGCCTTGCTTCTAATTTGATGTCAATCATTACGATTTCACCAACCATTTTCATCTCCATTGCTTTGCATAAATAATATCAAATTCTTTTATTTTATTTGAATTTATAAATACAAAATAACTTTATAAAACCATATTAGCAACTGAGTAATTTTAGAAATAAATGTTTTATGTTTATTACTAGAAAAGTTCCACAAAAATCATAGTGAGAAAATAGTATTTTTTTAGGGAGACTTGTCTGGAGCTCTTTAGATACAAAGAAAAAAGGGATCTGCATGAGTCAGGTTGGGGAAAATTTTCAACCAAATAGCTTTCTGGCAAGTTGGGAATTTTCCCACACACCAAACCACCACCTAATCCTCTAAACTGGTGGGTTGATTGAAGTATTTTAGGGGTTTAGAAAACCTATTTTCTAAAATCATCATGAACCTTGATTACAAAGAACAAAAATACACAGCAAGATCATTAGCAACTCAAATTAGTTACAGAACTACTGAACTTCGTTAGGCAACAAAATATTCCATACAAACACATACTAAGGGCCTCTTGTAAACAGTCAAAAAAAAAAAAAAAAAACAGTTAAGAGATCGAAAACCTATCTCATCGTGGATTTTAGTCCATTTGAAAAATCTATACACATACATGCATACATATAAAATTAAAATAAAATAAAAAAACAATTGAAAAAATTTTCAAAAAATTTACACACTAGAGATGGAGGGGAGCCAGAAGGGATAGATCTGTGAGAAAAATAAGAACTGAGATGGGTGGATGAGAGAGAGAGAGAGAGCACCTATGAGATGGTGATTCCAATCTGGAAGAAAAAGAGAGATCAGTAGCTGCAAACCGCGAATGAGGGCGTTGACGGTGGCGAAAGAGGGAGGGTTAGGTGTCGGGCGTCGATGGAGAGAGAGAGGGAAACAAGAGGAAAGCCGAGGTGTCTGTGTACAGTGGGTAATTATTCAGTAGACACGTAGCATTTCATAATATTGTGATTGGTAGAGAAAGTGAATAGATGAAATATTATGTTGGTGATTGAAAAATATGAAAACATATTAAATGATGATTGGTGAAGAAGTACATGCACATAATATTTTTAAAATATTAAATAATATAATAATAACTACATTTGGTTGAATTTTTGAATCAATTTTTCAAAATTTAAAAGCCATTTAGTTAAGATTTTTAAAAACTTATTCAAAAATTTAAAACTTATTTAGTTTAGTAGAGTTTTTAAAACTTGTAATTTATTTGGTTTAGTATTTTTAAAAACTTATTTTAAAATTCAAAATTTATTTGATTTATGATTTTCACAAAATCGATTTTCTTTAGTTTTACAAATTGGCTAAATAACTTTTTATATTTTAGATGTATATGATCTAAATAGACCTAAATAATAAGTAAAATGTGAAGAATGCAAATAATAATAATAATAAATACGTAAAATATTAAAATTGTATTAATTTTTAAACTTGATCAATTTTTTAAAAAAAAAAATTCATACATTTATCATTATTTGGTAATTTTATAAAAAAGTTACATTTAAATGTAAAACATTTTAAATACATGTAAATTGAGTGGATATAAAACTAGAAAAAGAAATATTAAATTTTTTAAAACGTCCATAAAAAATATGAAGTGAAACTTTATCCTATAAATTAGATTAGATGTATCTAAAAAGTAAATTTAGATGAAGTATGTGAAAAGTAAACAAATTTGACAATAAAATTGTAAAAATTTTTTGACTACAAGATAAAACAAAACACAAGACTCAAAAAAATTCAAAATAACCGAACAAGTTTTGAATTTTTAAAATTTTAAAAATTATTTATAAAATATACAACTCAAAATTAGTTTGAAAACTCATAATTAAATAGATTTTGAATCTTAAAAACTCTTGTGAAAACTATTTTACAAAATAAGATTTAATGATGTATAATGTTATTAATAAGACTTACTGTTAAAAATTTATTTTAAAATTGTGATATAAAACTTTATATTAACTTTACATAAAAAAATAGAGTATTCTTTATTTGTGTAACAATTCTAGTTTTGACCAACTCATTTATTGTTTTGGATCCGGATTCCTTGTCTTATTTGGTTGTTCACGTCCTTAATCGTCTTATTCTTGATTGAGTTTGGTTGTTTGGATGCTATTGTTGCGTTCGGAACAGGTTGGGAGTTCGTTTTTCATAAGAGTCATTGCCCAGATTTTGGTCAGTTCACTCAAGCAGTCCTTTGGTCGCACGAGCGGTCTTTGAGAACTTCTAGTATTTTTGTAGGTTTGCAGAGATACTGGAAGGATAGTGTTCTTCGCTTGAGCGGTGTTTCTTGTGCTTAAGCGGTCATTCTTGCGCTTGAGCAGTTAGCCTCTGTCTACAAAACTTCTAGAAGGGTGTCATTGTGCGCTCAAGCGGTCTCACTTATTATGTGTGTTCGCTCAAGCGGTGTTTTGATCGCTCGAGCGGTCTGCACATATATTAGTCTCTAAAAATTACTTTTTAGATCACTTTTTCATCTCTCTCTCTCTCTCTCTCTAAACATTTCAAAAAAACCAAATCTACTCTCCCTCCCTCTTCAAAACTCACCTTTAAACCTCAAATACACCATCATCCGTCGATTTCTCCACCATTGTCCTTTGGAGAAAAAGGTAGAGCTCACCTAGAGATTCGTTTTAATCTAAAAGGTTCGTACTTTCGTCAACGTTGAGTTTTGGGGTTGTTGGGCTTTCTCCTCTTTCGGCGCCGAGGTAGGGATTTTCATAATGGTGTGCATGTTTTTTAGCTTCGTTATATGTTATTTTTGTTAGTTATGGTTTTGAAAAAAGAAAAGGAAAAAAAGGATTTGGATATATATTTA